AGCCCAATTTGGTCTGGGCCCGAGGTGGGCTTAATAGCCGGCGACTACCGTACCGACAACGAGGACCGAGTCAGTTGGCCACTTTCTAAGACATGACTTTTAATGCGTCGGATAGGTCATAGTAAGGAGGGCGTTGATTTGCTGTATGTTGAAGCACTGCCTATTTTTGCCTTACTTCCTAACAACAACAGTCTTTAATTTCAAGAACCCATGTTTATGAAGAAAGCTGGTAAATCAGTAATAAGATCGATTGGCATGTCAAGAACCTTACCGCTATTCTCGTAAAACCTTTTGATAAGCATGCTGATGATTCCATGTGGAGCGAACGTCCGATTCACACCTAGCAGACGAATGTCCTTCCAGACTGTCTAACATTTTGAGAAGGATCAACATATAGCAAGCCTGTGCAAATATGACAACCGAAGCCTAATGCAACCTCCATTATATTTCAGGCGACGGCGTCGCAAACTCGATCGGTTCGCAGGAGGAAAACAACGAAGAAGTCGACTGTGAGGACCGCACATCAACAAAACGCCAAAAGAAGCGTGGCATCTTCCCCAAAGTGGCTACAAACACAATGCGGGCTTGGCTGTTTCAACATCTATCGGTACATCCAACGGTCCTTATTTGCCCTTCCCTTTTGAGTGTTTGACGACGCCCTCCTCCTGCTCTTACTGATCTCAGTTTTCATTTTGTACTAAAGCTTTTTTTAAGAGAAGTAAATTAAGGGTGGCGCATGGCGCGGGTGCATCCGGGGTACTTACACTGTGGCTCATTTTTTTCAATGTCAGATAATCAGAAGCACACCGAGCATGCCCTCGAATTGTAAATTTTCCTTCGGGGGCGCTGATCTTGCCAGAAGACTTAGGGAGACTTGTTTAAATTCGATTGATCTAATTGTGTGAACTCACACAGCAGGGAAGGCTTTTGCGCAGCCAACGTTCTACCACTGAGCTATGAGGATCACTGTGCGCCGTGAATTTAAGCACTCTTGTGTCGATGTGCTTGCCCAGCTTTATTGCACGAATGGAGTCCACCAATACGGACGCAGTAAGCTGAAAGCCACGGAGGATTTCCCAAGCAATCATCTAGGATCCACCGGATGGACTAATAGGCTAACCTTGGTTGTTAGGGGTTTAGCAGATGTCAATTACTCGAGCCTCATAGCTCAATGGTAGAGTGTTGGCTGCGCAAAAGCCTTCCCTACTGTGTTGGTTCGAATTCCACCGAGGCCGCGAATTTTTCACAATTGGGTCAATCGAATTATTGAACTCTGCCAAACCCCTACCAACTTTTTTAAATGTTTGGGGACAATTAACTGAAAGATGGAAAGGTAGGCGTTGTGGTGCCATTGTTATGCGGTCGGGAGGTTGGAGGCCAAGGTTCCTTCGAAATGGCACCCCTGTTGAGTCAGTGAGGTGACACATTAGCGTCCTACAACCACATAAATTCGGCCAATTGAAAAGCAAGCAGCAAAACAGGCCCTGAACAGGCTCTAATTCTACAC